TTTAATCGTCAAGCAATAGAGTTCAAAAGTCCAAACCTAAGTTCGAACGACTTTCTCCAACACTGATCAAATGATTCTGAATATTATCAAAACCATCTACTAATTAACCAAACCATTGTGATTCATCCACCGAGCATGCCGAACTTTGAGCTCAACTATAAAAATTACCAATCAAATCGGAGATCTAATCGTCTCGAGATGTATAGCGCTCATTATAACAATTCGTAAACCGATCAAGACTTCAGTCGAAAGCCGTCTCTTTCATGAGATGTTATCTCGGGCGTGAGTTTCTCGCTGCCCTCCGGAAATTCCTAGCTCTTGATGACGAATTCTTTCAAGAAAAAATCGTCTCCGGGACTCTTTTTTACGTAAATACTTACGTTTTAAAGCACTTCCGCTCCAACAGATATTCCCTCGATGACGTACTGTTCCCTAAAAATAAATAGGAAATTTGTGCTTGAGCATTGTAAGCACCTCCTCATGACGGCAACATTGGGCTCGGATACGAGCCAACTTGCAACTTGAGTTCCAGTGGTTTCCGTGCTTATTTTTTGTTAACTCAACGCCTACATGATTCGCTTGGTTGTCACATTTAAGGTTAAGGAAACTGAAGAAGAAGAAAATCGGATTGATAGCAAGAGGATGGAGGAACACCATTACTACCACCATTTACCATGCCTTTTGCCTCTGACAATTACAGTTTCTTTTCAAAATACCTTGCTTTACAGTATTTTCCGAGTGCTAATCCGAAAATTACCGCTTCAAAACAGTAGAAGTGCTATCATCGCATCAAACGTCCAGCCAAACACATTGTATTTTACATTTGAGCCATTATTTACCTTTTCATGTTGATGTGCTGCATGTATCCCGATTAGGTATGTGATGTCTTCAAAAAATGTCTTTGGCCGCTCTGGTTATTTCATGGGAATCTTATCGCTGTGGCGAAGTCAGATCTTTTTCGAAAGAGATCCAGAAACAATTGAGTACTCTCCTTCTGAACATTTGAATAGTGGAAATTCAAAACCATCGGGTGTAGCTGAGGTCGTACAAGTGTTTCTCTTATTTAACCGAAATTCAGTGACCTGAGGAGAACTATTCTTGTCATGAAGATAAGAACACATTTTGGAAAAAATGTCCACACAAATAGTCCTTGATACGCGGTTATTCAGGATATTTCATAATGGTAAAGACCTTGCATGTCGTATAAGAACACCCGACGGTGCTTACAAGATTTTGAATTTCCACGCTTCATTCTTAAGAGAACAATTCAAATCATTTGGAAACAAGTCCTAAGACTCCTCAGACCCTACCCACTTCGGCTAAACGTTATTACTCAAAAATTTGCCATCAAACATTATAATCTCAATTTTTTCCCCCTTTATTACTCTAGAACTTTGTTTATTCTACACTTTTAACAACCACGTCATGTAGAAAATCGTTGGTACTGACAGAAAATATCGTGAGAAAACTTCAAATTGAGTCTTCCTCTTTGAAGTGACCCCATCTGGAGCAGAGATCATTTACCTATTGAGTAGACGTATACCTTATTACCCATGCAATCTAGCAGCACTGCTCTCGTTCTTGTAAAACTCTTTACGACCCTGGCTTGCGTCGAGGGCTGTAAGTTTTTTTCACACCAACAGGAGTCAAGCAATGATGCTCAGCTGTTGATCATGCAACGCATCGAGAGTCCGTTATTTTTCGACGCGAAAGCTGTTGTTTTTTGTGCTCCCGCGTTTAGCTCACCATGCGGCGACTTGCTGTTAAAGGCAGTAAATTTCAAACCTCGTCTTACCCAAGCGTTGTTCAACTTTTAACTGAAATGAGAAATGGTTTCTCAGACTTCGTGCTATTTTTTTTATTCTATTTTATTTTACGCAGTGATCAAAAAGTGGCAATTAATTTATTGAGTTCTGCTTCCTTGCTCCAGTTTTCATATGATGAGGGAAACTTCAACAGCCGCTCCTATCATCCTGGATTATTTTCAAGATTTTTATGACTTCCATTAAGTAATGACGCAATTGTAATCAGATGGTTATGGTCTTTAGTATGCATTGACGACCTACTGCTTGTCGTTGTTTTTTTTTTTTTAAAAATTCTAACTCTTATAGTTATACGACATGAACGAATACTCTAAATATATAAACCGCTAACATTTTTTATTTTGTTTTTCATCCGCAGTATGCCCCTAACTACAGTAGAATAGTTCTCGGGTCAATACCAAAATTTGGCCTTATTCTTATAGGTTTTTCAAGTTAGTATTAATTATCGATCACCAGAAAAAATTCATTCTCCTATAGCTATGATTCTTTTGTCGAAACTTTAAAAAAGTGTTCTTTCGTCAATTAAAACAAAATTTACGTTCTTGCAATCATCAGTGAAAATTTAGTTAAACGTCGCGATTGATTTTCGTTGTTACCGCAAGAATCCTCCTTGCGGCTTTATACGGTAAGTCAAGTTATGGGTGCAGAAATTTTAAAGGTCAACGAAAGTTTCGTCGCACATTTTTTAGATACATTTTTCAGAGGTAAATTCGGGTGCGCATTTTCGAGTACCAACCTTTCTTGTCAAGACAAGAACCTAGTTTTTTTATTTTATACGACAACTATAACCAATGGTTGGAAAAATTACACCAGGGTCTGCATCCTCACGCCGCACCGGGAAATGAAGAATGAAAGAGGTGATGCTCCAGAAGAGCAACTGTCAACAGCCAAACAGAAGCCTCCGTAGTTGAACAGTCCGGAGTCCTACAGCTCCATAGACAGTCCTTCATCTTTCATTCTTCATCGGAGGCACAAAAGAAAAATAGCTACACGTGTCATTATTATTTCATTCCTGATCTTCAACTTCGTCCGAGCGTCGCGTCTCGACTCCGGAGGATGAGATGACCGCCCTGGTTGTCGCTTTGAGCACTAGTTTTTCGATTCCCATCTTTTCCTGGTCTATCTCGAAATTCTTCTTCTTCTCGAATTTTTGTTCTTGCAATCAAACTTTTGAGTTGAGCCGAACGATGTCAAAATCATTCGTCTGGTTCATTTTACCGATTTTTCACCTAGCGCAATTACTGCCCGCAGGCCCGGAAACTTTCATAGTGTGGTAACTGCTGTCCAGAACGTTCTCTCAAACCGTAAAAATGAACTCAGATACAGATCAAAGCAATGATTATCATACTTACCGTACAGTCAAACGTACGCATTCGTTCGGGTCCAATATTATTCACGATGTACAACTTGATCACAACCAAATCTGCAACCACAATACATCTGAAGAGGTCTCGTATTACCGAGCTAAGTAATGTAAAGACATTTTAATGCAAACTTTGGCTGGCTAAGCTATGAAAAGCGAATGTTATAAAAAGAGCCAAAAGCCAAGTAATTATGCAAAAAGAAGCCAAATCCTATGTAGATGATTACATTGATTTATTTGGCCGTTAGCTCGTTTTTATATATCATTCATTATATTTCTAAGTAATGTAATTGAGCGAGGCAGAGGTTAAATTTTGAGGTCAGCGCCATTTTTCATTTAATGTTGATTGATGAGTTTGTCAAGTACGAAATTTGCGTGATGACTGATAAATGAAAGCACCTCGCCAGGCAGGGTTTTTGCAAAATCAACGACTCCACTCCTTGATCAACAGTCATCATACGACAAATCTGAACGTTGTATGTAAACTCTAACACTTACGGAAGACATCAGAGTTGGGTCTTTAAAATATATTGTCTCTGGTCACGCCTGGCAACATCTCATGAAGATGCAATTGTATTTGTACAGTCATGTGATTGTGATGTGACGGTGTCATCTACCTCTGCCTCCAACCCTGCCTCCTTCCTTCCTATCCGCCCGCTCAAGTCTCCGGCGATGAAAACGCGTTGCAGCATCCCGGATCGTAGTGGACCCCGCTCCGACCGGACCGAAAATCGTCCGACTCTTTTGTTTGAGAGTTCTGTCTCTCGCTCACGTGACCACTTCAATCCGTCGAGGGTAATCCGACGCAAACAGAGTTTAAGCACCGGACGAAAAACAGATTGAAACAGAGCGGGGGCCGATTGAAAAAGAAACGTGCCTGTTTTGTCCGGCCCCCGGTTAAAAGAAGAACCAAATACATACATGTTTCCCCGAGGCTCTGCTACAAGTCCGACGCGGCGCCGCTCTTGAAGTCCGAGAGTCTGATTGAAAAAAAGAATCCAATTTTTGCGGGCTTGACTGAAATCCAGTGACGTCATTGCCCGGTCGAACCAAATCACCTTTCTCGTTGGAGTATAAGCGCAAGATTGACCGAAGTTGAACAGGTCATCTGCCTGAATTTGCTTCGTTATACGGTCGTATCTCGTCTTGACGTTTTTGGAGGGGCATCAAAAGTACAACGTTTTTCCAGAGGGATGTTTTTTCTACCAATACTTTAACGAAAAATGGTGCAGGGACTTTTAAATATGAACGTTGTTTCGAGAAAAACATTATTCCGAGAACCGTTATAACGAGATACGACTATATACGCGTGAAAATGCAGGCCTCGCTTTGGAGAATTATTGGTCCCACCTGACCACGTACTGCAGCTTTTTCACAAGAAAATCATTTTTAAATTGAATTTTTCTGACTTTTAAACGTCGTTCTCTCACAAAGCATTTCAAGGTCGCAAGGAAGTTAGGAGTAAACTTGAAGAGTCCTACGGTAATATATCAAATGAGGCTTCCAATGCTGCTAAAATTCATCGTGCAGCGTACAGTTCTTTATTTGCAGGTAACCCGTGAAAAAGCTCTGCCACGAATTACTCCCTGAATCCGCTCCGACTTTTTTCTCGCCATTGTGTGGAAGTAAGTCGACCAATAAATTTCATTTGGTGCTAATGTTGCGATAAATTGCATAAACTCAGCGGCATTTCTTACTCTCTTTCTCGGGAAGTCACTCGTTACTTTGCTCGGGTAACAGAAATATTAATATTATTCGTGAACTTTTTGAATTGAATGTTCTAAAAAATGAAATTGAATTTTTTTGTTTTGCAGGCCCCGATCTGATCGAGGAAGTAAGGTACTCTGGCATCATACACCCGAGTGCAGACTGGCATACGCTGAACCACCACGGGCCCATCGCGAAAATCTCCTACCGTGTCCGGGTGCAGTGCGACCGTCACTACTTCAACTCCACCTGCACCAAGTTTTGCCGGCCCCGCGACGACAAATTCGGACACTACACCTGCGACAGCAACGGTGACAAAGTCTGCATCACCGGTTGGAGAGGGGCCAACTGTGAAATTGGTGAGTTTGTGAATCCCCGTCATCCGAATTAGCATACTAATGACGGATTCCTTTTGTTGGCGAAAAATTGAAGGCACGGTGTCCAGAACCTATGTTAATTAGGTTAAACCATCAAGAATAAGGATAAGAAAGGGGGAGGGGGGTTACTGTTTCTTTTAGGAATTTGGGGTTAAAGCCTGAGCATATCTCTACGTTTTCATGCCGAGGTTACTTTAGCTACAAGCATGGTGGTCTGTGTTGAAGCGGATTTTAAAAGTCTAACAGAAGACGAAAAAGTGGCTTACTTAATTTTTCAATTCGGAGGATGCTTTATTTCCTCTCCCAAGAGAACCTCAAATATGTGAGAGAGTACTTCGGGTTTTCAGCAGGGAGGTTTTTTTTTGTGATAATCTTCAGGAAAATAGGGGATGAATTCAAATCGAGATTTCTTTACATAATAATTGCGAGTATAAACATATTGCAAAAAAGACATAGGTACGCAGGCAGCCCAAAACAGAAATACTAAAAAGAAAACAAGGAAATAGCGGAAACAAGGCTAAAATACATAAAAATATACGGAACGTCTCGGTGTCTCACGACACCATTATCAACCGCTAAAAAGTACAAAAATAAAAAAGAAGTTAAAATCAAAATGTTTTTATTTTAATTTCTCTTTTATTTGTGTACTTTTTAGCGGTTGAAATGGTGTTGTGAGACACCGAAACGTTCCGTATTTTTTTACGTATTTATAGCCTTGTTTTCGCTGTACCCTTGTTTTCTTTCTAGTTTCTTGCAACAAGCTGCCCACCATCAATATTCATCATGACATGTCTAATTATTCAATAATAATTACATTTGCACACACAACACAACATCAGACAATATTTTTTAGTAATTAGTTTGTCCTATACTTGCAATTATTACTTTCGATCAGTCATAGTATGGCACTGACTAGGAATTTAACTTATTTTAAGATCTTACTTGCCTTTCTTTTCCTTCTTTTTCTCTCCTGGCTCTCTTTTTATAAAAAATTCATTTTACTTTTCCGTTTTAAATACCTAAAGTTTCCTACTTTTTGTTTTTACAGCTGTCTGCAAAACAGGATGTCATCCCGTCCATGGAAAATGTGATAATCCCGGGGACTGCTAGTGAGTACCCTCTTTCACATCTATTTTATTGCCTTGATTACAGGATAAATGTGTTTAGTTTTCACGCCGGTTTTAGAATAAACAGCCCCTCATTCGTAACCGACTGCTTCGCACAGTGAATTAAGAGGAATATTAAGAAGGGGTTTTACGTCTCTTTTTGTTCAAATTTGAAATAATTATTTCGGAATATATTAAATGTAAGTACTTTCTGCATGTCGATGTATCAATGAGTGCGTTCATAAAGCCAAATCATCTTCTAATTCAATCACAACTTTTTACAATTTTTAACCGTATGTCACGAAATTTTCGAAAATTATGAAAGGGTGGAGCTAAGCAACCTCGAACATCATCTGTATACTACCGCTTCTTTTTTGATCATTTGCATTTATAAATTAGTCTTCGTTCGGCCGATTCATATTTCATAAGATGGAAAAGATGCTTGCAGCCGACAAAAGAGAAAAAATTTCAAACCGCTTCTAATGTACCTCATTTGAATAAGCACCGCCCCTTTGCTTTTTTCTAAAAATAAAGAAGCCACCAAACGCTCAAATCGAAACATTTATGTAATTGATTTTTTATATGATCGCTGCAAAAAGTAACGGACCGACCCACCCTCTCTCCGCTTCTCATCTTTGACTTGCGCAGGTAACTGACGATTATTGCTGGTACTCATGACTAGAGAAAGAAAAAGGGAAAGCGCGGGGGGGAGGGAATACATTTTCATTTTTTCCCCCAAACAGTTTAATAAAACATGAATCGTGAACAGTAAATCTGAACTGATCATGTGTAAATTCTGATATATTTAGAAAGATTGAGGAGAAATTTTGAGAACTAACGCAGAGGCTCTCCGTAAAATCGGGAGCGCTTTCTAGTAAAAGCAAATTCTCCAGAATAAGACCGTAATATCCTTGGGTTGGAGAATTAGCACACAAAAATTGTATCGGTTCATCTTACGGTGCCTAATGAGCTGAGTTCGCAGTATTTTTCATAATTTTTTTTTGACATGGGAAATTGGAGAAAAGTAGATTTAAAAGTGAGAAAATGTGCGGCCTTATGACGTCATCTGGCGGCAATTTCCATTTAAACAAATTTACTGTAGCAGATTACTTTATTTTGTCACATTTTCTCCAATAATTGTTCAGTTTAGAAACAAAGAATACCCTCGCGCTCAGTTTTTCTAGTAGTATCATTTTAAAGATGAAATTCACAAAATTTAAGACGCCTGCAAATTCTGTATTGAAACAGTAAAGTAAAATTTAACAGTTTCACCACTTCAGAGACTGTTCCGGCAACCTCAATGTAGCTGGAGTAATAAGGCACACTGAGCATAAGAAAGCGAACGTGTGCGGAGGTCCAAAGATGGACACGGAGACAAAACAGAACGAAAAAAGTCAAAGGACGAAGAACGCGGAAGGCGAGGGAGGGAGAGGGGGGCACGGGACCCCCCATCGACTCACCCGGTGCAACCGTCGATTAATCGCGATCGCCAATAAACAAAATCAAAAAGCGCAGAGCCCGCATCACTCAGCATAAATTAATTCCGCGTTTCCTTGGCGTTTTCATGGTTCACCGCCGCGTCGGACATCATTCCCCGAACTCCGGTGCGATTTAGACGATATCGGAAAAAACCCGCATACCGGGAGCTTCGTTCTTGGCGTTACAAACGTTAACGATTTCATGCGATTGCATCTTTGTCAATTCTGCGAATATTGAGTTTTCAGTGGCATGCGCTTAGATTTGCAAACAATCACGAAAATAGTGCAAACGCTAATTAAATTTCCCTTTTCCCGTCCAATATTAATCGGAGATTTTATCCCCTTGCAAGAATTCAAACTACTAACTATATCCATTGCGTCCTATTCAATTTAACATTAGGTTTAAAATATGAGTCCCAGTAACGTCTTTTCACCAAAACTTTGGAGGATTCCGAAATAAATAAATAAAAATCAAGTTTTCAACAGTTCGATTGCGCGTTTATCTAAGTCTTTTGAAACGCAAGGGGGGGGGGTGCCCCCACCAAATCAACCCACCGATGAGTCCATGTCGTTTTTTAAGGAGGACTAACACCTAAATTCATGAATTCTTGAAAAAAGGAAACGGTTAGAGGTGTTGGAGGACCAAAGTTTATCATCATGATTATCATGTTGTCACGACATGAAAAGGGTTACTTTTTACCCTGCAAGTTTCCCACCGCTGCCGCACCGACTGGTTTCCCGACTGTTTCCCGACTCATTAGAAGTGTTGTATATGGAAAGCTTTTCTCCGTGGCTCTAATGGCCAACTGAACCGGGTGAATCCCTAGTTGTCACGCTATGATATTGTTTTCTTTCCTGCCGCTGCGTTTAAGTCTTCAAGCTTTCTTGCGTATGTTTCGCGACTCCTCATAACTATCTTATTTGCGTTTCTTTTCCCTGCGAACGTGGCTTACACTTTTTTGTAACATGCCAACTGACCAAGCTAATTTTGTACTCCACCGCCAATTAACGCCACCGGCTCCACGATTGATTTTGACAAGTCGTGAAAACAACACGCGACTTTGATAATTTGTTGTTGTGTCTTATTCATTTCTTAGTTTAAAGCGTAACAGATTGCACCTGTGGAGACTTCAGAAGCCAAACTGCGCCAGGGCAATGGAATTCGTTTTCTTTCAGATTTAATTTCTCAACAATTGTTTTTAACCAACGTCTTGGCTAAATCCCAAAGAGCTCAAAAACAGTCCCTGAAAACAAAGAAGAAATTAATTTAGGTATTAATCAAACGTAATGACTTTACAATTCGGTAAAACTCTCTTTTTTGCCAATTGAGAGAATCAAAACATGACCATACGACTAGTGCAATTGGTCCACTGTAGGTAACTGAATCAATTACTCTTATCGGCCTCGCCAAATAAAGCGTGGTGAAGTTTCAAATTCAATGCCAGCAAATGACTCTTTACCTCGAAAATCAGGGGGAAAAATCTTCTCAATCTGCTACGTTCGTCCAACACTGGTCGCGCAGTGGGGGCATTCAAGACTACCGCTCAACATCGTGTCACATTTATTATTTTTTTTCCATGCCCCCTCCTTCCCCGTTTTAATAAAGTTGTGAATGAATCACATAAAATTCGCGCCGTGCCTAAAAGAAACCTCGGACGGAAACCATAAAAACAAAGGACGAGGGAGGGGGCACCAGAATCCCGGGGCGCGACGTTGCAAATTACAAATAAGTAAATACGTGAACCTTGAGGGGGGCCTCCTCTTGAGGAACCCGAGGGGAGGGGGCAGGAGGATGGTGCATGGAGCTAACTATCCAGGCTGTCCGTTTGATGAATTGAATTCGAATAGAATGCTGAGCAATTATCATTCCGCATAATCGCTCCCCTTAGTTCCCTCTCCTCCCCTCCCTCATAGTGCCCCCCTCTCCCTCCCCTACTCGCGTCGCATCTTCGCCATTGCCCAACGATGCCGCGTCGCATCTTTTTATCATAATTGTTGCAAAGACGTGATTGTGAATGAAAATCCAAAAAATTCGATTAAATTGTCTCCTCAGATTTGTCATGGATAGGAAATGATACGGAACTAAATTACAAAGTAATGAAAACTTAATATTGCATGAGTATCTCGTCATTCAGTATAGATTTGTGATTCACATCATCAATAAGTATGATTCACTCATTTCTTTAAATAAACAAAAATCAGAAAAGTGTCGATGACTTTTCGTAAAATTTAGTAGTTCTGGAGAAAAATCGGGAATATCATTCCCTCGTTTTTGCGAATGGCCTACCTACCCAAAACAGAACGATCTGCTGTATTGTGAAACTTAAGAGAAGTTATTATTTTTGTTTTGTTTTCTAAGTAAAGGCATTTTTCCGGAGGCGCAAGCTTAATCAAAGTTTGGCTCTCATCGGAACCACCACGTACAGGTATAAAAAGTATTGCTGGTAATCAATACAGTATGAGGAGGCTTCCAGGACTTCATGTCCACTTGTCTTTCGTCCATTAAATAAATGTCCACCGCTATTAATGTCCACTAAACGTTAAGGCCAGTCTTTATTAAGTCCACATGATTTAATGTCCAACCATGAATATAACCAAAATTGTCCAAATTGTGGACATGTTATGTCTACATTTTTTTCTTCTCATTTAAATGACAGGAACCACCTCAAAAATAAATGCATACTACTACTACCTTCATTCTTAAAAACATTTCATTCATGAATCAAGTCATGAAAGAGAACAGTCTCTAAGAGCAGATATAAACATATGTTCATGTGTACGCTGTACGGATATGATAAGATGAAAACCAAAGCAGGAGCCTAAGAAACGCTCCAATGCCAAATTAAACATTTTTCAGTAACAGATGCAGTCAAAATTGAAAGTCCTCTTTAATTAGTTATTTCGTGCGCCTTCAATCTTTTAGGATATTGTGCAACGCCTCTGACGTGAAATAGTTGCTTAAAGCGTTGCGGCTTGGCAGGCAAAACCAGCGTGACACGCGCATAGGCTCCTACAAACCTAACGGGATACTTCACGCGTTGCGCAATGCATGAAGTATCCCGTTAGGTTTGTAGGCGCTATAGCGCGTTCTGCGCTGCTGACACGCCGCTCCGCTCTGCGTTAGGCTCTAATATTTAAACTCGCGGAGTCAGCGTTTTTCAACTAATGATTTTGAAATGTTTGCACTCTCTGCATTGATTATTCCCTTTTATAAACTGATGAAAAAGAAATATGTACTACTGGAAAATATAATGTGCTTTTTGTAAATATAATAGTGGTTCCGTGTCAAATGTAATGATTTCCAAAGCATTCACATTTATTCTTTCATGTTTTGGGCTTTTACTGTGCTGCAGCGTGGTGTAAGCGCAACTAAACGCTCAAAATTGGACGTATTTGACTCAAGGAGGTCGATGTACAAATAAGTTAAAAACAAAAAAGTGCGTGCTGTGGGCGTAAAAATTGTGGACGAAAAGTCTGTGGACGTAAAAAAAGTGGACATAAAGTCCGTGTACCATGAGCAGAAACCACTGAAATATAAATATTGTCATCAGTTTCTCAATTTTGCTCTTCGCTGTTTACGATGAACATCCGAGCACTGAAAACGATTCCCTCCAGCTAACATTCTTTAACCATTTCGAAAAGCTCTCAAGTCAGCGCCAAAAACTAAAATTCGAACTTTTTAGCACGCGAGCTCATCAGGAATGATGATATGATTGGTGGTGGAATGATTGATGATCGGATTGGAAAAGTGTATGATTAAGTAACAGATTTTTTTTGCGTAGTTGGACTACATTTTGCAATTCGGAACTAAAATTTCTGGCTCATCTAAAAGAACTTATGTGGACTGGGAAACTCATAGTATACGACCATACGTTCTTTCCAAACTCAGGCAGAAATTGTAGTTCCTAATTGAAAAATGTAGTTCAAAGAATGAATATCGCGCAAACCGCAAATGTAGTTTGCCAAACTAGGTTTTGTTAACGTAACAGAATCCTGTGGGGGGGGGGGGGGGGGAGGGTGGTGCACAAATTCATATGAAACATCCCAGAAACCTTAGACGGGAATGATTGTGGCTTTAATCCTTACCATAATCAAGTTTCCACTCTAATATGCACGTGGGTGCCCGGGTTGAAATTCTCATCACTGATAGCCGTTCTTAGCGTAAACTGTCATAAACCTTCAGAATAGGGATTTTAGTAACGAATTTCGGTTTTCTCATTTAATTTCATTTGGTTTCAGCTGTCGACCCGGTTGGCAGGGGGAGTTCTGCGATCAGTGTACCCCCTACCCAGGCTGTAAACATGGATACTGCAACGGCTCGTCATGGCAGTGCATTTGCAATACCAACTGGGGAGGAATCCTTTGCGATCAAGGTAAGTCAATGTTTTCACTATTTGCATGACTGACCACAGAGTGTGTAAGCGGAGACTCTCCATCAAATGCAAAATATAATTTATAATTCGACGTCATTGGACACCATAAAATAAATGCGTCGTTACTTTTGCAATGTTCGGTAAGTATGCTTCCTTGGTCGCGTTTTGGACACACAACAGACACATTTTCAAATTAGTAATTGACAGAAGCGGGCGGCACTCTATACTTGAAAGCACTGTTTTCATTGGCTATCTGGAGGAATAATGTCACTTGCGGCTGTTTTCCCTGAAACTACGTCATTGTGTGCGCACTTACGACTTTCTCGCATGTGTAAGACGAATTTTGCAATGCTCGGTAAGTATGCTTTCGTAGTTGCAGTTTGGACACACAACAAACACATTTTCAGATCAGTAATTGGCAGAAGCGGGCGGCACTCTTCTTGAAAGCACTATTATCATTGGCACTCTGGGAGAATAATGTCACTTACGGCTGTTTTGCCTGAAATCACGTCATCTTTTGCGCACTTACGGCTTGCTCGTATACGTAAGACGAATTTTGCTGTTTTATATATTTCAGTGATTTCATCTAAAAGAGAGTAGACGAATTTTGAAGGGAACTCGATTTCGAACATCTGAGACTTACTGCTGTCTTCGCCATTAGGGCAGAGCTACGAAGACCAGCAGAGATTCGCCGGGCAAGTGGTCGCAGAAGGAACCCGTCCCGGCGACGGAAAAGCGCGCGCGGAATTTTTCCCATGCTCATTAGGCACTGCCCGATTCGCCGCATGAGTGCGTCACCGCGCGCGCGATCGCTCTTGTCACTGAAAAGTGAGAAGGAACCCGGGGTAATTCATCTCCGACAAAAAACAAAAGTATCGTGTTCGTCGCATTCCCTCTCGCCGCGCCTCGTTGCAAGCTCTGACCATTCGCCGAGCGCGCTATGGGAAAGCAACCCTGAAATGACCAACGTTAGTGCAAAGCGCAGTTGTTATCTTAAGCATTTCTATGTAATTCGCGCTTACAATTCACCATTCTTCTCTATCGAGCAGTCATTTTTAAGGATTTTTAGCCGATGATGCGGTTTTAAAAATAGGTCATGTAAAATGCTTGGCTGTATTTCATATTCTTCCCTTACCTTTTTCTTTTCTTAAACATATACTTGAATTTTACGAAACCACCAATTAGAAAGTTCAGGAAAATTGGTAATCAATGTTGTAAAAAAGGAAGAAAAAAGGACGCCAAGTCTGGGACGTCTATGGGGCGGTTCTAACCCCCGTGGATTCAATCGGATCTTTGCTTGAATCAAAAGGAGATCTGCTTAAATTAAGAGCCTTGACGCACTATTCAAGCAATAATACGATTAAATTGAGAGTATTTTTTCTTGTCAAAGTAAGCGTCTAGATTCTGGATCCAAGGGACTTTTCTTTCCAGTATAGGTCGAATTTTCGTTCCTCCAACGTTATGGCGTATCTTGACTTCCACATGAGCCCTGTCATCCGTAAAACTCTATGCTTCCCAGGGCTCATGCAAAAATATAGATATACGCATTACACAGTGCTTAGTCCATGGAAAAAAGGGCTGGCACCTGCCTTAAATCTAGGTTATGCCATTCCGGAATGCCCTCGAGTCAATTATTCCTTGAATATGCAGGCGGGTTGATATGCAGGCGGGTTGATTAAGTAAGTGAAATGCACCGTATCCCTTCTTCATTTATCCGAAATTTCATTTGTTTTATTTATTTATCGTATCTGTTTTGAAGACGACAACGCCGGTTAAGGATCGTTGGTACGGAGTATCAGATGACGGCTGATGTGCGCGCAAGATCCAGCGAGCCCGCCTCTCAGACTAATGGGTCGGAAAATATCCGCTGATTTTCCTGCCATCTTCCGCCTTATCCGCCTTTCGCAGGTCGTTTCGCCTTCGATTAATCATGCGACCGCGGTGTTGGCAGCCCCGTCACTTGGGCCTCGATCCCTCGCTTCTCCGACGAAAAGGCAAAAGCATCTCCTCGTGATGAGCCCCGTTCCTCCTATAACGCCATTCGTTCCCGAGCTCACGTGATTATGGAGTCATGCTCTACCTAAACGGAGTGACAAATTTTCCGGGCCGAGATCGCGGAATTCCGTTCTGCAAGCCGCGGAGAATTATTCGATCAGATCCTATCGGGATCCCGAGTCAAGATCGATGATCATTCTCATTACATTGTCAAACCCATTTCGGCAGTCTCTCCTCACGTCTGTTTTATTTCAAAAGAAGGGAGGGGGGGGGGACTTCTCACCTGCGTGGTGTAATGATTAATGGTACGAAATATGATAGGTCAGCAAAGACTAAATACCAAGATTGAAGGAGTCCGTTAATTTGCCCGAATTGGATTTTTATAGTTGTGCCGTGGTGGACCTCTTGACAAGTTTTGCAATTTTGTGATTATAAGATTTGAGATATCAAGAAGGAGGGAGGAATTTGTTTAAAATCATCGGCAGGTCTAAGGGTAGGGGGAGAAGGCGCACGGCCCGCTCCCCCTGTTCTTCCGAAAAATTGGAAGAAGACAAAGGGAAAAAGAAAAAAAAGAAGCGGAGGAAAGAAGGATGGACGCTGGTATTTGGTAATTTCTCATGACAAAATTGACGCAAACTGCACGTTAAATTTTTTAAAATCTCGTAAATTTTCGAGGGAAGGGGAGGCCACCCGGTTCCCCTTCCGCCCCCTTCCCCCATCGAAGTGTCTTGAGCTGTCTTGTTTTTAAGATCCTGAAACTAGTGAGAATTATGAATCGGAGTCGAGAATTTTGGGTTATTTCTTGAGGACACATGTTTAGTATGTGATTTGTCGTTACCTTTCAATTACCAAGATGTTGTGTTTCGTTCATCTGCTGATGACCATTTCAACAGCAAAAGCCTTCATCCTCAGAGATTTTTCCTGGACGATACATGCCGCTTATCACTAAAATAAAAATAAGAAGATAAAAATCCAAAACCAAATCAAATAAAATAAAAATAATCATCAGAAAAAACTAAATTTAAACCTTGATCCCAAATTAATCAACGAGAATCAAAAACACACCAACTCGGAAAAATAAAAGTAATCAAGACACACACAAAACTATACAGAAGATGAAAAAATAAGTCTTTTGGACAAACACTTACGGACATTTTAAAGGTCCAAATTGGAACAAATGCGCTAACTTCCATGACCTTACAAAAATTGACCGTCCTCAATGAAAGTTGTGCATTTTCGAGTTACCGAGTCTGTGTGTTTTCGAACACACCGATTCAAATTTTGTTCACTTTTCCATTTAGCACGAGCGTGTTTCTTGACTTGAGCTTGTATTTCAAGGAACGATAATGATTTACTCTGTTCTGGAGTGAGTGTGGATAAAATAAAGTGTAATATCCTCGGTACGGCGGCAACGCGATGAGCGGCGCTGAGATCACGGACGCAGACTTCATTACGCCGAGGATCAACAAGATTAGCCCTAGAAATCAGAGGCCAGATCCGATCAGCTCCAACTCATCAACGGGTTTACGAGAACCCAATCTATCTTTCGGCCTTATTTATTAGCCCTTGTCGAGCGCTTCCAGTTCTCACGGCGCAGGTTTGCCCGTTTGCCTACTACCCCCGAAACTGGAACGATTTCTTCGCTCCGTCACTCCGGAGGGTCCATTTAAGCTATCACGAGTCTAGTACCTAAAACTTTTCTTAGTCATAGTTTTGAGGTGCTTTTCGTCAATTGCAGATCGCAGGATTAACTTTTTTGGATTGATTATTTACTCTATTCAACGGACCTGGGACAGAAACACTTTGGAACTTTGGATAAGATTACACTGGATTCACAACTCCTGCTTCTAAAATTTTATGCACCCCTATATTCTCATTTTTCTAAAACTAGCAAACTCAGCCCTTCATTAACCTCAAGCGTGTCTGGTTTTTGTATTTAGTCGAATTCAATTTTCCGGGTTCAAAGAGACTTGAAAAAAGCGTGTATTTACCCAAAGAGTGATTCGAGGAAATAAATAAATGAGACAATATATTGAAATAAAACCAAGGAAGAAAAGAAATTAAAATTAGTCATTGAATGCTGGCTTGTATGGTTTTATGGAATCGATTTTTCTCAGTTTTGCAGTAATATCCATTCTTTACGTTCATTTTTCGCCGTGAACACTGAACAGTGTTTTTTTCATCGTATGAATTTTCAGAAAATTGGCCTTTATTAATTCCTCATCATTCATTATTTTCACGAAGTGACTGTAATTTCGCCGCTCATGATTCACCCGTATCTAAAGCGACTGTAATTTTACTGTGATTATTTTTTCTGTGATAACTTGATTGCTAATATTTTTTTCATTTTTTATATTTGAAAATACTCCGAAATAGCGGTCTTTCCATACAGTTAAACCCTGAAAATATTCCACAATTAATTTGAATCAAGGCTGAAACATCGCGACCAGAGAAATATTCGACCTCGTTTCTTTTATCTTTGCACTCAAAGATTATATTGCTAACCGAGGATGGATTAATCGCCACCTCGATCTAATTTTGATCCGTGCCGTTGTAAATCACACTTTTTCGTAAATAATAGAGTAAACTTGCAACTTGACAACTGTGCCCTGCAAGAGTACTGATTTCATTTTGGGCGGTGTTGTTGGGAACGCGTCGGGAGTGAGCGGGAGGCGAGGGGAGGGGTCCGGGGGTCCAGAAGCTGGGGCTCGGGGGCGCGAGGCGGGGGCCGAGTCCGAGGTGGTCATTTGTTTTTATTTATTTCCCCAGTTTTTTATGGGGAGAAGGTGAGACGAGTCCTCGGAGGTTATTAAGAGCCAGCGCAATTGAGTCTCGTGTTTTACAGTCGTGAGCCAGCAGCCTGGACCTCAGTGCCATGTTTCCTCGCGGCTCCTAGGAAAAAGGGACGCTTAAAGTTTCCAAAGTTATGAACAGCGGCCATTGAGAACATTTTTGAACTTACTTTTCACTTTGTTTTCCCAACACTGAAAAAAAAACACATTGGA